TTGGGGCTCTGCCCTGGCAGTGATGCCAGCCCCAGCCCCGTTCCCTCACTAGCAGCTCTTTGCCCCCTCTAGCCCCTCGGGGTTTCCCAGTACAAGTGTCTAGCCCATACAGTCTCCCTGATGGACACTGTCCCCTTGCCCTTGTCTATCTTAAACAGTAGCTGCAAGATATAAACAAGCAAGACCCCAGGTCCAGCTGTTTCCCTGTCCTCTTTGCTCTCCCTGGTTCACGCTGCTCCTAAACAGCACAGCCAAGTCCAGATGAGAAGCACACAGCTAAAAAAATGACAGCCCTCAGTTGTCTCATCAGAAAGGTTTGGCAGGGTCCTGCTGCTGCCTCTGTTAGCAGCTGGGTGGAAAATGCTGCTCAGCCTGCATACCTGAGGCTTGGCATGCCTTTCCCTCAGGGAAGGGGATTTGGCATCTGACTGTGTGAAAGGCCCTGACAAGGGGTGACAATGCATTCTGAGGGGTTGCTTTGCATCAGGAGAGTGGCCCAGCTCAGGGCTTCCCAAGAGAGCCGGGCTGTGCCTCCCTGCTGCCCATCCCTGCCCCCTGTTTTGCAGCAATCCATGAGCGAGCTGGGCAGGGCATCATGTCCCTCCTCTGCCCAACACAGGCAGCTACCAGCCCCATGGGAGGCACAGTGCTGCTTGCAGACACATCTTCCCAGTAATTTTCCTAGCCCAGCTCACCCTCACCAAAACAGTGACCCAGATGTGACTCTGACACCCTCGGTAACTCAACAACCCTCCAGAGACAGGGTTTAACCTCAGTCAGAGCCCCTGGCTCCCACTAAAGCTTTCCCAAGGGATGAGGTCAGGCTCAGACACCCCCAAAGTCTCGATCTTCCTCCTTGCCAGCCGCGGCTCCGCTGCCCTGCTGTGGGTCGGAGGCTGGGGAACACGCTGACGAAAGGAGATTTTGTCTCGGCGCGTCAGTCAGGCTTAGGGGCCCACGGAGCAGCAGGGGCCATGGGGGCAGGCTGCTGGGCACACCATCACACCCACATTGCCACCTAGCCTCCCATTCTGGGATGTGCAGCTCGCTACCCTCCCCCCTGCCAACCCAGCAATGCTCACTTTAAACCAAAGCCCTGTCTCTGGCTGCATCACCTCCAGTTCAGCTGGGGTTTCAGCTACCTCCCCTTTCTCCCAGCCCCCAAAGTCACTCGTTGCCTCCCCCAGCTGTGGGGTTCATCCACACTGCTGGCACAGGGCCATGAGACGGGCCTGCCTGTCTCCCAGTCTCGGTCTCCAAGCAGATGGAAGACATCAGCTCCCCACTGCATCCTTCCACGATAATTTGTCTCACCCACTTCCTTTCAGGGACACCCCTTCTCACAGCCAGTTAATCCCCAGTGCTCGTCTGTTTCTTTCCAGACCCCAGTCCTCACCCAGAGAGCCTCGTCACAACTCTTTTCTGGGCAAGCATCTCCCCAAAGGTCTACCCATGCAGGATGCCCTAAAAAAAGACCCCTCTTCCCCAAACCCCATGGAAGAATGTCTGCACACAAAGTCCCCACCATCATCAGATGAAAAGGCACTCTCTTGGGATCTTCAGCTGACGCAAATCCCTTATCCAAATGCACGGGAATGGACACTAACCCAGGGACCCAGTCAGAGCCGACCAGGGAGGCACATTTGCAACAGGGCAAGAAGAGCCTGGGAGGACTCTGCCTTTGACTTCCCTATCCCTCTGCAGTGGGTGGCAGCTCCCCCAGATGCTGCTTAGATTAGATGAGGGAAATCCTCCTAACCATGTCTCACACAGAGAAATTTTTCCATTTACCATATAAAATCATGTTAATGGCAGAACAATAATGATGGAAGAGGGAAGAGAATGACCTTCTGGTGGTAGCTGAGATAGGTATTGTTTTGGATTTTCTTCTCTCTTCTGAGGGAACCATCCCACCTGCCTGCAGCCATCCTGTAATAAAAGGACTTGCAGGAAGAACTGCTATGCAGAGTAAATCACATCTGCTTTCCTAGTTGGATGGATGCACAAGGAAAAGCTTTCTATCTGGGCTTCAGGCGGATCCCAAAGAAGGATGCCACAAGCCAGAGCCCAGGAAACCCAGCAGCTGCACCACTGCCTTGCTGCTCAGAAGGCAGCAAGGGCACATCTGGAGAAGAGCAGAGGGCAGCCTGGAAGATGAGAGCAAATGGGTATCATTTAGGCCCCTAGGCCAAAACAAAAGAGAGGATCTGGAACTGAGAAAACTTGAGCAGGGCCTGCTCAAAGGAAAGAGAGTCTGGAGAAACCACATCAGCCTGGGCTGCTGGGAAGGCCCCATCCACCTGCCCCTGCCTGCATGGGCTCTGCAGCCAGAGCAGCACTGGACCAGTACTGAAGCAGTCAGGGGCTCACCATCCCACAGCCCTGGTGGAGCCAAAGTCAGTGGGATGGGTGGGAGCAGGCTAAGGGCTCATCCACAAGACTGACCCCTTCCCCTCAGAGAGATACTGCCACAGGCAACGCCTGGAATTTGCCAAGCAAGAGCTGTCATCATAGGCCAGGGATTTCTGCTGAAATTATGTTCCTCATCAGGGAAGACAGGTAAAAACTGCAGGAGACGCACTACAGGATATGCTTAGCTTAGCTGTCTGCATGTCTGCTTATTAAGCTCTGAGATTAAGGATTTAGTTCCACATATCAGTTTACTTAGAACTAAAGCATCACTTCACATTTTAATCTCAAGTATGCTACATTGTCTTGGCCACTTCCTCTCATGCCCTCTCCCCATGACCTCTTCCTCAGCAAAATGCTGGAAAGTTATTAGCAAATATTCTGTGAATTGTTTAATATCCAAACAGCAGGATCTGTGCATCCCATGAGAGATTCATAGCTCTTACAATCAGGACAAGAAAAACAAGGATTGTTTTCAGGCCCCCAGGTCCTACTGGTAGATGTTTTGAGGCTGGAGTTGTTGCCAAGCAAAAATCTCACAGTAAAGCATCCCTTTAGACGAGTTATAAACCAGGTTAGCTGGCCGAGGTACTCCAGCTTAGGATGGACCCCACTTCCACTTGCTAACAGACTTTGCACAGAAGCAAAATAGCCCATACCAAGTGCCATTTGAAACTCTACTTTCCAGCACTGTGTTAGTGGAAGCCATCTTCTTCTGTTCTCAGAAGGATTTACACTGAGGAAGGCTGAGCTCCTTCTGTCTGCAGGAAGGCCATGACCTTTTAATTTGCTTATGATTTATTAAAAAACTATAAAAGTATTTGTTTACGTGTTTATCAGGGCTGAAGGAGTTTCAAAGGTTGAAGGTTTTCTAAATCAAGACTGCAGAGCTGTTGAGTGGCATAAACACTTCCCCTAAAAATGCATAAAACCATATACCCTTTCTCTACTCAAAATACTTTAATCTGCTATTGGGAAGAGCTTTGAAAAAGCTAAAAACCATACCTGAAGTAGGCTGTGAAGATTTATCCACTGATGGCAGGGCACAATGCTGCCTTTCCTACCTGTTAGCCAAACGCAGAAAGATTCATCATGCTGCAGCCCTTGTTGGTGCCAATGTTTATTCCAAAAAAAGAAAAAAAAGACCACCAGAAGCATCCCATGCTGACCCAGGAACAAATTTAACCAGGGAAAAAAGGCAACGGATAGTGTCCGAGACATCAGGCTGTGCCATGCCCCTGTGACACAGAAGCAAAGCCCACCCAAGGGAGGCATGCCAGTCACGCTTATCGCTGTGACTGGCACACAGACTTGGTTCACTGTCCCACTTGGAAAAGTAACACAAACACCTCCTCTGAGCATGGACAGTTCTGGAAGTTGACTGCACTCAGATAGGCTGGAAACACTGACTTTAGGCGAGTATCTGCTCTGCTCCTATGCCAGTGGGCAGACAGCTATGGAGGAGGCAGGCTGAGGCTTAAAGGCAATGCCCACAGGGCTCAGAGGACTTGGAGCAGCAGATCCAACGTTCCCTGGCCCACGGACAACAGCAAGCAAGGAACATGCAGCCAGCAGCTGATAATTTTGTTTTCCCACAGAACTGAGTTCACGGGGAAGTTTTACTAAGCAGGACAGTGCCATAACTTAAACGTTGATACTAAAATTATAGTATCATCTTTTGTGCATTACCTGGCATAACGGAGTTCAAGGGGATCCAGGACTTGCTTTTTCCATGTGCAATGTAGATTTCACAGTGGGAAGCATGGGACAGATACATCTGCAAGGAGTGACTGGAGTGGAGTGTGGAATAGCTCAGCACTGCACTCTTCAGATCTTCATAAAGGGGGGCAACATGGTGCCAAGGTAAGGGGCTTTCCCGGCGCAAGAGAAGGGCAAGGCAAAGTCAGCCACCACAGCCACCAGACCTGTGAGGAGTCAGCTCGATGGCCTGAAGCTGGTCAGACTCCTGCTGACTGCACCCCCTGCACCAGCACTGCTCTGCCCCAATGTCCCTTTACTGGCCATGAGCATGAAGTTTATCTGCTCAGCTCCAAAGAAAGGAAGCTGTTTGGCTCCTGGATCACAGCTGGCCCTGAAAGGAACACTAGCATTTGCCCACTGTTGTACCTGAGCTTAAGAAGCTGGACAACAGCCAGTCTCACCAAATAACATCACAGACAATGTGTGACAACTGTCCCAAACAGGAATCCAAAAGGAAGGTTCTTTCTGTAGATCTTTCAATCTGAACCCAGCCCTTGCATTAAATGGAGAACAAAATTTTCAGAAACCCACCCCATTCAGCTCCCCTTTCTACCTCTGCTTCCCGATGTCTGCCATGCCCTGTTGAAGCTGTAGGCCACCACGCTCTCCTGATTCTGATTCCTCCTAAATACTTTTCTTAGGAAAAAACATAGAAACTCATCTTATTGAATGTGCCCAACCAATAGTTCATTCTGTATCTCTCCTACTCTCTTGTCGAATCCATTTTGTAGATCCCAGTGTCACTGGACCAGGGACTAAACTTTGTGTCTTGCTCCTGGGGAACTGGGAAAGGCAGAAATAGGGAAAAGAGAGCATAAGCAGTACAGAACAAGGTTTTCATGTTCTCGTTTTAATGATGACTAACTAAATTAACACCATAGGACAGTAAGGGTAAAGGACAATTTCCCAAACAGATTGCAGATGTTCTGTAAAGTAAATCAACCTTCTTTTGGAGAAAAAAGAAACTATTTCAACATTTACAGTAGTTGCTTATAATTCTTAAACAGGAGGAGGGACTCTTGATGAACCTCAACTTTTTCATGTTTCATCAGTTTCTAAAAAATGACCAAGTAACATCTACTGTATGAAAGGACATACAGGACATAACAGGCTGAAGAACCCTCTTAGCTTTCAAACAAAGTTGCGGGCAATGGCCAATACTTTGGAGAATTCGCCTTCTCTCTGTCGCAGGATATAGGGTATTGGTGTTTTTATCCTAGTCCCGATTGGATTTCCATTATCTTCTATGAGTACCACATTGTTGGAATCAAACCTAGGCGTCATGGTGGGGCCAGGCATCTTGTGCCCTACAATTAAAGCTTTCTTCTTTTCTCCTTTGATGGCCAGAAGGATTTTATCTCCTACTTTGCCAACTCCAGTCTTGTTATACACGTGGATGCACTTTGGTGGCCGGTGGTAGGGCGTGTTCCCCAAGGCGCTGTTGTCCACCACTCGCACGCGGGTGAGTTTCTGTATTGCTCGGCATGCTCCAGTGGTACTAAAGCATAAGACAGGAAAGAATGAGAGACAGATCTCCTCCATAACCCTTGGGGAGCAAGGGCAAACTCGCGCAGAATCCTGTCACTACACAAAACACTCGGAAGGCGCCAGCAATAAATACATACCATATGGGTGACACATGGACTGCATTCAATGTGCTCTTTGAAAGCCAGATGCTACTTTGGGCTTTGCACACTCGTCACTAAATGTCAAACATAAAACGACCGTTCTCCTCTGAAACACGACTAAAAGATGGCGTGAAGAGTGACTTGCATTTCATGGGCTCTAGCAACTGCAGATGATTCAACTTCAATTTACAAGGAAAAGATTGTGCTTGCTTCTGTTACAAACAGCCTGCAGGAAGCTAAGACTCAAGTCAGCCTCTTGCAATCTTGTTCACATTCCCCAGCAATAAGGACTTTTATGACCAATCTTCTTTTCAGTGAAGTCTGTGAGGGTCTCCCATTTTATTCTGCTCTCAGTAAGATCTCTAAGGACCTGCTGTGGGTGTGCTAAGCTGTCACCAACTAGAATCTAAGAGATCATCACCTTCCCCATGTGGGAGGAATCCAGAAAGATACAGTCTCTTCTGTATCTGTTTGCTCTGTGGGATTATCAGAAGCAAGGAACAACAGAAATAAACTGCACATTACGAAATTGTTAGATCGGACTCAGAATATGCTTGAGAACAGCAGGAATAAACTCCCTTACAGAAACCACTATTCTTTTATTCAGTGAGTTCAAACTCAAGTGATTTGTTGCTTCTCTTCAAAGGACACCCAAACACAGACCACTGGAAAAGCAGAAAGATCCTTTTTACTGCTAAACAACTACTTTGCATTAAGGTATAGAAACATGCTGGCCAGAACTGCAGGAATGCCAACCTGCTGTCAGCTGAACTACTCAGGAGACAGCATATGGAATCAACCTAATCATTCACCTTGTTTTTCAGAGCAGAAGCTTGTACGGTAACTAAAGACTAATACGGACCATCATCCCTTCTGGAAGATGAAGGGCCTGTATTTGCAAAGCTGCCTAGAAGACAAGCACCAAACCTAGTTTGGATGGACACGAGCTGAAGCAGATATTTTTACACGCAGTGAGGGAAGGCCAGCTGAATGAGCCTGTGTTAGTCCAACTGCTCCAGAGGTCAAGCGCTGCCTTACAAGATCTGTTTTCTGCACCAGAGGCATACCCCTGCTTTCCTGTCTCTCTCAAAAGTCACTCACCTCTGCAAGCAGCCGCCCCCTCCCATTCCAACCCCTGGCAGGGACTGTGGTATACCACACTCTCTCTCCTCTGCCTGCTGACTGTGGCTGCACAGCAGGGGAGACAGAAGGGAGGAGGCTGGAGTGTTGTCACAGGAAAGAGAAGGGAAAGCCTAGGTAGGACTGAGTGTACAACACAGAAGTAGCAAACAGCTATACAGAGTAACTGCACTAGGACTACTTTTTCTTTTCCTTCTTTCTTCATTTCTGCCATGGTTTTGGAGCAAAAACCCACCCCAAAAATAAGGCTTCCCCATTAAGAATGTTGAAGTCCTGCTTATGTCTGTGGACTGGACTTTGCCTGTCTTGCTGTCACGTATATATGCTTTAAGTGTCTACTGGCCAATGCTCTCACACAGCCCACTTACAGAGAAAGCCAGGAAGACTTGGTTACCTCCTTGAGATAGCTCCTGGGACTATCACACAACCTAGCCCTGAGCATTGTCTTAATCCCCTCTCTAGACCACAGTCACAGGAATTACTATTCTCATCCTTTAAACTGAAGCCCTGATCCTCCCTCTGTGGGATTAGGCTCTAAGTTTTGTACAAGGTATTGTAAAATATGAAGACCGTAAATTTAAGGAGCTTTAAATGCCTTGAGCCTGGAACAAGAAACTAAAGAAAAATAACAAAATAGACACTGTTAAAGTATGAGAAAGTAATTTTTCAGATTATTTTTGTTCTAAATAACTGTAATGATAAACTCTTGAATAATTTTAAGGATGTAATTTGGTCTGCATCAGCAGGAGCTGGTTTTTGCACTTGCATGAGAAACACACTTTCAACTTCTGCTTGCAGGCCCTTGCATTGTTCTCAAAAGCCTAAAAGCCTCCCTACATATGAAAATGAAGAGTTCAGACTGCCAGGAATCTGCAGAAGTAGTGTTTGGGCTTACTTTTAAACCTTCAAGTGAAGGGACAACTCTGAGATACTTTTTTTATTTATTATATTATTCATTTGAATTACAAATACGTATCTTATGCTTGATCTAGTTAACAGCATCTCTTTCAATCAGGAAATGCTCTCAAGAAAATAAAAGCAAAATCTGAAGATTACCTGAACTGTCGCTGGAGCACCGCACTGCTTAGATGGGTTAAGGATAAAACCAATCGCGTATTCAAGAAAGCCATTTGGATTCCGGTAACAAACCTGCATAAGAAACAAGAGAATTATGAACTCTGGAAAATGGACAGAATTTGGTTTGCTTCCTTTCCTTTACATGAATCACACATCAGGGCTTCAGCACTTATTTAGAGGTTGCAATCCACAGCAGAGAGTGGTAGCAGCGTCCGCAGCAGGCTATAAAGCAGATCTACAACCCCTGCCTGAATTCAGGAAGAAATGTAATTCAGACACGTATACTACAAAGCTGGATTCAGTATCACTGCATTGCAGTTTCCTACGCACAAAGGTAAGGGCCCTTCTGTGTGCACTGTAAATCATGTAACAAGAAGAAGGTTTAGAATTTCAGATGTAAACTAGTTTAGTGGCTCCAGTGTCCAGTAAAAGCTATCACAATTACTTGTAAATGCTACCAGGGTTACCTACACACCAAGCAAAAATCCTGAGATACTCTGCAGACTGGCATCAGATCTTCAAAAAACCATTTTCCAGACAAGAAACAAATCAGACCTCTGCTGGTGAGGGCATGCTTCCTCTTAGCACACAAAGGTGTTTAGCAGGCTGTGTTTGCAGACCACAACCTCATTCTTTCCAATCTTGCCCGATTCAGGCTGTCCAGAGGAAACAGTTCCCTGCTCAACCCAGAGCGAAACACCACCCCGACTGCAGCTGAGTTACAAGGGTAACCTCCTACTGAGTACCACACCCTGACTACACCTACAGCAGTTTCCTAACCTCATTCTGTCAGACTGACAGGGACCAGCTTGCACGCACAGTCACTAAGGCTTATCTGAACCTGGATCACTTTCCCAGACATCATTAGGAAGCACTGACCCAGGAGGTTATGCTAGCAGATCCAAGTGAAGGGAGAAAACATAGACCTAGAGCCAGTCCTCTTTCAGGCCAGCTCAGGTACAGTTAAGACTTTCCACCTGACTGTAACTACTGCCATGTGACAGTGCTTGCTGTGACCTTGGCAGTGTAACCAACACAGACGCTGTTTCTCTTCTTTCTAAAGCAAACATTAAAAATCCATTGACCTCATATCTCTCTTTGCCACTTCTGATGAGTTTTGGACTAAACTATAGCAATATATCATAAAGCTATTTCCTTGACTTTTATTTTAAAAACAAAGCTTAGCTTCTTTAGAGAGAAAAAAACAACCAGAGCCTTCAAACAGACGATGCTGCAGCTCTTCTTACTACAACCCAGTAAGTCCAGCCTAAATCTTCACTCCCTCTTCCATTGTTTTTTCCTCCAGTGCGTTTGCTTACTTGGCAGCTTTTCTACAGAGCAAATGTTACCTGAGAGCAAGATGAGAAGCACGGGAGATGTGCACCACAGCAGCTTTGAGCAGCATTTCCTGAGCAAAGCACAGGACATGTGGCAAACCATCTTGCCTGTCACGCAGGCACGTTTGGAAGAGAACAGCAACAGTCAAAGCTTAAATTTATTTACTAAACAAAGCCACTTTTCTATGGGGTAGATCACCAAATGAGTTCAGAGCTTTCCCACACTGTCCCCTCTCTGAAATGAGACTCCAAGAAGGCTGTTTATGCCACAGCTCCTTACCTAGCTGCACGATCCCAATGACAGCAAGGCCCTGGAGCATTCAGAGCTCTGCTGCCAACCAAGATCCCGTGCCTGAGCCTTACTGCTGCTTGGATTTCTGAGCAAATTCAACTATGCTGACTTGCTTAAGCCCCCAGTCTGCCTGTGTCTTTTCTGCACTTGGGTGTACTGTCTCCCCACGTGAAATTCAAATCCAGCAGGTAATACTGCTCCTACTTCCTCAAGAATCACACTGAGCATTTGGATCCCCATACAAACCCCAAACAAGCAGCAGAAAGTTGGCCCCTCTGATGTCCTCGATGGATGCTTCTTGGGGAGTCCAGCTGCTCCTGTCACCTCTGTCTCTGTTTTCCTGGCAGGCATGGTGGCTGGAGAGGACGGGTCTGCTCATCCTCACCACTATATAAGACCAAAAGGCGAGGTCTGCTGGCTCATGGCAAGGCACACACAGGCACATGCTGTCAAAGGGACAGCAACATCAGGACCAGCATAGCCAGATATGCTAAAGGGACATCTAAAATGTCCTAAAGTGCTGCCTAAACTCTGAACTCACTCCTGGGTGGAATCACTGTTTTTTCTACCCTATGGCAGCAGTGAAGGTTTGAAGTTACAAAACTACCAGCAGAAGCATCAAGAGCATTAAGTGTCCAAGGACTGTTTATTTTTCCAGATGACTCAGTACCCCTTTCTTAGCTAAGAATTATTCCTCGGCACGTTAGGATGTGTCACAAGCTAAGAAACTTCACGTGACTGATTATTTGGTATGAAGCATCCTATTAGGAACTGAGTAAACAGGGGGGATCCTTACAATTAGCAGGAAGGTTCAGGGTGGAGAAAAGAAAAACGCATCTGTGGCATGGAGTACAGCATTCAAAGGTGCAAGTGGGTTCACAAAGAATGAATCATAACTTCATAACATATCATGTTATGTTGTATCATAACATGCCAGTTTCCTTCCTAGAACTGAACGCCCAATAGTTTGGGTCTGTCTCCAGGTGCTCCTCAACCAGATCCAGCCCCAACTTGCTCTCTCTGTGGCTGTGACCTTGATCTCTCCCCCAGCCTCAGTTTCCCCCTCTGTGAAGTGGCTAATTACTAAATAACTAAACTCCAAAGGGCACAGAGGTCATTCACTCTGCCACACTCGGCGCTGCCACATGAACACTCCGAGCTGGTGCCAAAATTAAAGAGCCTCTATAAATCGATGACAGCCATCGGCCCCAGCGCCCCTGGCACTTTTCTCCTTCCCAGTGCACATGTTGCCTCACACCAGTAGACCTTAAAAAGGCTCAGAGGCTGCACTCAGCACAGGCACGGGGAATGCACGTGACTCGAGTATGCTTCTGAAGGTGGCTCGCCCCAGGTCATCAGGTTTCAGTGCTCAGGGGTGTATGGGAAGAGTAACACCTTAACCTTCAAGCACAGGAAAATTTGCAGGAATTCCCAGTAGTCTGCTGTCAGTATTGCCCAAGTGATACAGGAGTGCAGCCTGCAACATCCTAGGATAGGCAAAATACCACCACTGCTTAGTACTTAGTGACTAATACATCCCAGACCAAGGATTTATCTTGGAAGGGACTTTCGGAGGTCACCTAGTCCAATCTCCTGCTCAAGCAGGATTAATTCCCAAGTTGTTCATGCTAGGCAAGAGCAGTATTTACATGGACACTATCCTCAGATGAGAGTCCTAACACAAAGACCGCTATAACATTGATCACTCACAGCTTCACCAAAGCAGCGATAAGGAACTGTGCAGAGAAATCTCTCTCCCAGTTCCTACCCTGCTGCAGTGGCTCTATCTCATTGTTACACTAATGTTTTTAAATCAGAATCACAGAGACACTTGGCCCCTCTCCATATATCTGTTTAAAGTTAGCACAGACCTCACACAAGAGCTCAGAGTAAGATTCAGAAAGGGCTGAAGAATTTGTTAATCAAATATTCACTAAAATGACCCAATTTCTACTTCACTGAATAAGTCTGAGTACACAATAACCTGCTGTGGTAAACACTCTCTTCTCAAGGGCCCTTCAGTCTTACCCCATTAAATGCAACAGGCTGACATCAAATTCAAGTACTGCACAACAAAAAACTCTTCACCGGTTATAAACTTCTGGAAGTTATTTATCCACTGCATCATTTTGAAGTGCTAAAGCTATTATCTTCACTGTCTTTTTCTTGATATTGAAGAGCTAACCTATATTTATTGCAATTTTGAGTGGTTTTTGAATGGAGAAATTCTGGAAAACTTCATCCCAGCTAAAAGAATTGGGCCACATACAGTATTTTCGTCAGATGTGTGCAAACACATGAGTAGATCACCTCAGGGAACTGATACAAAGCAAGGGCATTTTCCAGATAAGGAGGGCAGGATTACGTACTCACTTTGAATGAACATCAGGGCACATGGTATGAAGAAAGGAAGATCTGTGTCCCCCCCTACACGCATTTCCAGCACCTCCCTTATGCTGGCTTTAGCACTTATGTGAATCAGAGAGTTTTCAGCTAGATCAGTTCCCTGATCCAACTCAACCTGCAGTTACATGAATGCTGGTGGCAAAACACAAGACTGGGACCTCTCTCCTTCCACTGCCAACCCAGGCTTATGTGGTGACAGTATCTCCAAAGAAACACCAGGAGATTTGGACATGAAAAGGATCTCTTTCATTTCAGCACAAACACCATCGTGCTTCACAAGAATGGTCTGCATGAATTTGCACTATTAACACAGCCATGGCAGCACTCAAAGGTCTGCGCCTGAGCACTCAAGAGGCCAGTGCAACAGCTCTGACCAAGGTCTTACCAGTGGTGCATATCCTAAAAACCATTCCTCCCCTGCCTGTATCCTAGGGCAAATGCAATTTTAAAGAGTGCTGTTACCTAGCAATCTTGTATTACTTTCCTTTTTAATCACAAGTTTGGAAACTGACACCTGCTCCTTATATTCCCGAGACCTGTAGTTCCATAACCATTCAGCTCTCTCTCTTCCTTCTTTCTGCTAGTAACTCATCCACAAAAACAGGCCCCATGGAAAAACTATGGATGTTGCAAAGCAAATGCTGAGGCCTACTACCCAAAAGGCTGCTGTCAAATACACAAAATAAACCAGGGAAAAATATTCTTCACTTTAATAGTAGTAGCCTGATCTGCAGAAACAGTAGGGACCAACACCACCTTTATCCTTCTAAAAGGACAAAATAGACATGCTCCAGGCATAATAAAGATTTGAACTGCATCTGTTATCCATCATTAAAACACAGGAAATAAACCCAAGACAGTACATACTATGCAAATACCTAAAGCCCTACTCTGCCACTGCAGGTTTATTTATAGACCAGCTGCCAGGGTGAACTGTGAACTAGGGGACTCAATCCATTCACAGCTCTCCTCATAAAGGAAACAATGTGATTAAGGGCTGTGTGTTAAAAATAGACAAGATATTCATTACCAAGACATAATTGGTTTTACATTAATGACAGACAAATAGGCCAGGATTCACAAAGAAAAATTAAGTCTTTTTTAACTCTGTTTATGAACAGGATTAGCTATTAAACAAGATATTTATTGATCCAAGCTACCAACAGAAACTCATTATAGGTACATGTGTTAACAATTTGGAAGCAAAACAAACCAACCTCATTTTCCAGACCACAATCAGGAACGCCAGACAACAAGAGATCTGAATACTTTTGATATTTTAAATATTCAGAAGTCCCAACTTTTGTAAAGTACTTATGGCACTTCCTGAACACCTAAAACCATTCTATATATTCATATTCACAGCACTGTATTAAAATAGGAAGGGATTATTCCCAGTGCACCAGGAAAAAATTAAGCTACAGAGAGGACAACTGCCTGTGTGAGATCAAAGGAAATGAGCAGTAGAGCAGGTACTGGGTTAGCCCCTGAGGCTCTGCTCTGGTGTGATCTGTGGGGCTCAAAGTGAAGCCCAGAAAGGTCCCTCTCTGCCTTTGGAATTAAATGTGAATTCAGAGGACTACCCACACTCCCATACCTTAATGTTGCTATCACCTCACAAATGTACCTTTACTAGTTTTAGAAGTACTGAGGTCTCAAGAACAGGACAATGGTGAAAAGCCACAAGCTCAGATTCCGCTCCCAGCCCTGACCTGGGTGACCAGGCACCAACCAGCAAGGTGCCCAGACAGCAGGAACCACGCTGGGGGGAGTCGAGGCAGGGAGAATGACACAAATAAGAAGGAAGAGAAGGTGGAAAGCTGTGGCTCAGGCTCAACCATAAAAAAAAAAAAAAGTCAAGAACCACTGACCTAGGCTAGTTGTTCACAGAACAAAGAGCAGGAGTGGCTCTGAGCCTTCCTGATAAAGCAACACCAGAAAAGCATTCCTAATAATGACAGAGTTCAGGCTTAAGAGGAACCTGACCTGGAGACAAGGGCATGTTTGCATTACAAGGCAGCACAGAGCTACCTGCAGGTTTGCTGGTGTAAGTCTCATTTCTCACTCAAAAACTTCCCTAAACTCAGTTTCTCCCAAACAAGACCTTCCCACGAAAGCCTGGAAAACTCTTGAACCAGGCAAGTGAAGACAGCTCAGATGAGCATCTGTCTACTGCTGTTAAAAATGCTGGCCGCCCGCCTGCCTTCATTACAGAATTATTCACACTTTTAAGAAATCTGTCATGCTGTCTTCTCCCCCAAATTGCCTCCCCTTACTCACAGGACCTCCAAAGGAGCTTTTTGGAGAACCACCACCAAAGCACAGAGTAGTGCCCACACTTCCCGAGTCCCCATGACACAACACGAGTAAATATCACGCTTGTCAGGACACAGGAATTTCGGTCCTAACTTTGCTGCATCACTACTCATACCCACACAAGCCTAACTCCAGCAGTGCAGCCCCTCGTGAATTCTGAGAAAAGAAACTCTAATCTCTGAAGGACAAACGTGCGAGCGTTTCAGAATTGTGTTTTCCTCCTCCTCCCTCGCCCAGGCCATACTGTTTAGGGCGTGGGCTGTAGTCCAGCGGGAGCACAGGGTGCTGCTCTCAGTCACGCCATCTGCAGCCTGCGAGCGACACGGGGGCTCCAGGCTGGGCAGAGCCCAGGCTCCGGCTCCCAGCTGCTTTCGCACGGTGTCACCCCTCTGCCGCGTCCCCTGCCACCCAAACTTGCCCCGTGCATCCTCGGGGATAGAGTTCCTCCATCCCTTCGGAGCGGCAGCCCACGCTCGGGGCTTACACGTTCCAGGCCCTGTGCGCAGAGCATCGGGGACAGCCCGCAAGAGGCTCCCTGCCGGGACCCGGGGGCAGGCAGGGCCCACGGGCGAGCACGGCCACGGCACAGCCCCGGCGCCCGGCGGCTGAGAAGGGCTGGCCGGCTGAGGGCTCGGCGCCAGCGCCGGAGGAAGGCCTGCGCGCCGGGCCCAGCGGCGGGGCAAGGCGGGGCCCTCCCTTCCCCCGGGTACCGGTCCTGCCAGGCGCTGCAGCACCGCGCTGCGCTGCGCTCCCACCGTCCCGTCCCGTCCCGTCCCGTCCCGTCCCGTCCCGTCCCGTCCCGTCCCGTCCCGTCCCGTCCCGCCGCTCCCGGGGTCGCCGCGCGCACCTCCAACAGCAGAGCGCGCCCCGCCGCCGAGTGCAAACCCACCCACCCGCGCGCACGCGCGGCCCGCCCCGCAGCGCTGCAGGGCCGCCGACTGCCGGCCCTGCCCCGCCGGGGCCCCGCCCCGCCGAGCGCAGCCGAGCCCCGCCGGACCGAGCCGAGCCGAGCCGAGCCCGCCGGACCCAGCCCACCCCAGCGCAGCCGGGCCGTCGCCGCTCGCTGCCGAGCGCGGCGGAGGGCAGCGCCGTACTGCAGCGCTCGGCCCGGGGAGCCCGTACGCGCCTGACACGGGGTAAGGAGCCGCCGGTAAGCCACCGGGGACCTGCGGCACAGCACAGCACGACGGGGGAGGGGGGGGGGCGGGCGCGGCGACCGTGGCTCCTCTAGGCCCGGCGGGTGCTTGCCGACGGGGGTGGGGGGTGGCAGTAGCGCCGAGGCCGGGCCGGGCCCCGCGGCCGATGCGCGGAGCCCTTGTCGGGGGCGGCGGAGCGGGGGGCGCCGCTGCCATCTTGGGGCGGAGCGGGGCGGGGGGCGCGCCCGGTGCGGTGGCCTGGCCTGGCCTCCCCCACCCGCCCCCCAGGGCCCGCCGGGGCTTCTCTCCGACTCGCAGGCGCCCGTCCTTTGCCGTCCTTCTTCTCCGCGGCTGCCGGGTACCGTGGTTTGCGCCCCCCGGGGGTCGCCGGCCCCCTTCCCGCGGGGCGGCACCGGCCCCGTCTCGCCTGCGCTCGCCGCTTTTGTGCGTGCTCGGGCTCGGGGAGCTGCGGCCCCCCCTCCCTGCCGCTCGTCCGGGCACCGCTGCCATGGCGAGCAGCAGCGAGGCAGCAGGGATGTTTCGAGGGTTGGAGTGGCGAGCGGGATTCTGATACCGCCCTGCTTCTACTGCCGCGGAATGCTCGGCGAAGGGCTATCGGATGGGGCTCGTGTCCCTGGCCGGGTAGCCAAGCAGCCCCTTTCTGCCCGTGTCTCGATTTGCCAGCCCCTCCACATCAGCAAACCATGTTTTTTTCCTCCTGTTCTAGAGTGCACCCTGTATGTAGCTACCTGCTGGAGAAGGCATCACGCCAAAAATATTCAAGGTGTCTGCAGTCAGCCTGGTGTCCATAGAAGGTTCGGTAGCTCTCAGCTGGATGGACACCATGTGTTTTGGGGTTCTGAGCACCTCCCTCCCTTGCTCTCCCCTCGAAAGTAGGAGTTAGAAACAAAAGGCCTATCAGTGTGTGCTCAGGGTGACTAATTTAGTTGTGCAATGTCCTCGAGGACTCCCTTCTCCCCTTGATTTGTCTGTTACTGTGAAAGTGTCCTGCTCCATCGTGTCATCCTATGCAGTAAGCACACGTGGAAAAACGGAGGTTGCAGGGCAGGAGCATCCTATTAGCAGCAGTCCCATTAGCAAAGCCACTGAAGGGTTGCATGGCACAAGTGCTCCTTGGATGGTCCTGCAGATGCCCCACCTGAGTGTGGGACAGAGCCTTTGCAAGTGTATTGCAGGAACCATCATCCTTCCCCTCCAAACACTTGTGCTGTATGGTCCCTAATAGCTGTATATTCTCCTAATGCTTCTGAGAGAGTGGAAAGCCAACCACTCGTAACTGACTCCAGGAGGACTCTGTTCAGGCCAGAAATAGCAAAGCATTAAGGACGTTACTTCTAATGACTGCAATTAGCTGGTGTCTACCTAGGAAAGGCCTTTTTCATCTCGAGCTTTTTAGTAGTAAGAATGCGCTATCTTTATGGGGAGAGAAGTCCATTCTGCAGTCTTTGCCTGGATACCATAAGAGCAAAATAAACATGAAAGGAGATGCCTTTGAGGGGGTTGGGAAGAGGCTCTGGTTTGGCTCATAAGTATGTTTTGTTGCACTAAGTTTGCTCTATTTTTGTCTGTTCCTGTCTTCAATAACCTTGGAAGGAACTGAAGCTACTGTATTTTCTGAGGGTGTCGGTTTTCTTGTCAAGAAGACGTTGCTGTGAGGCTTTGCAATGCTCCGTTTTCTTGCCCTTTGACCAGAGTGCAGTGCGACTGTCCTGAACTGTCTTGAAGCCATGAGTTGAGCCAAGAAAAGAAAAATACTAAGTGTGCTTTGCTTCTTGTCTGTTTGAGTTTCTAATTTTTTTTCTTTCTGGGTTTTGAACATATCCTTGGTTATATTTTTTCACTTTCTTCAGCAACAGAGTGGGCTAGAAACATGCTTGGAGGGTTTTCTAATGTGTTTTTTGTTAAAAAATAAAAAAAAGTCTTCATGACATTATTGCATTCTTGGAACTAGAACTGTCAGAAAATCCCAGGTAGCGTAAGGTTTGCAGTAAAAGCCTTAAAGTGGGCAGTGCCAAGGACCTGCTTTTTGTCTGTTGCTACTTGCACTTTCCCTGAGCCTCCAGTCATGGTGAGCCTTGCAGCGTCCTGCCAGCAGCTCCTCTGACACCGAGGGGCAACGCCAGCCTGCATCCTTTCTGTAAGTAAGTGCCCCATCCTGGCAGCCAAGGTGAGGCTGTATGCTGAAATCCCAGGGACTCCACAGGCTGCACCTCCCGCTCCCAGGAAAGGCAGCTGGGACCTGCGTTGTCTGACGTGAAGCGTGCGCAGAGGTGGGGTGCCAGCTTCATGAGGGAGGAGGCCCTGCGTGTAGGATATTCCATGTGCGCTGCTAATTGCAGACGGTGCTGGTTATGGATACTGTGCATGATTTGCATATCAAAGCATCTGAGAGCTCTGCCATGGGTAGGGATGGGTAAGGATGATAAGGATTGCTGGAAGCTGGGGCCGGATCTTCCCGGAGGCTTTTTGTGGTATGCAGATGAGACAAGAGAACGGAGTGTTTGGAAAATAGAGTTTGTCTCCATGTCCTTGAGTGACGGCACCGTAAAGGCTTTTTTAAGCAAGGTGCTCCTTTTCAAGGGGTGGGAACCAAGCAGTTCTTGGTGGCAGAGTACTCTCCTTCCTGCTCCTCCTGCCACTGAGAGCTTGTTGGGTAGCCCACAGTGTTGAGCCCGGGAGCAACCCCCCCACCTGGCAGGTCCTGCAGCAAAAAAGGCCAGTGTGCCAAGCCTGCTGCCTCTTCTCCACGCTGCTCTTCACATAAGGAGGCAGAGGCCCAACTTGGAGCTTTGAAGCAAAGGAGCAGGTTTGTTACTGGCTGAACTGGCTCTGCAGGGTCCCAGGCCTTGCCTAATGGCTCAAGAGGCATTGAGGGGGGACGGGGAGCAGCAGATCCCCGAATGGGCCATGGCTTCTGAGATGCTGTGTGAGTCAGAGGAAGGTTTACCTATGTCTGGTCTCAACACAGCTGTCTGCTGTTCCTCTTCATTCTGGAAATGAACCTGGGGAGCTTGGAACTTGTTTGTAGGCTGAACTGGAAACTGAAATGGAGATTTCCGGGAAGGGAGAGAGGTGGGAGGGAGTCCCTGCATCCCTCGGCCACTTTGATCTTAGCAAGTTCTGATGCCCTGGCTCTGAAGGACCACACTGTGAGGCAGCTGGCCTCTCTGAAGGTAGGTCTTCATTCACTGTGGGAGCGCCTACTGCCTGGAACTGCAGCCCTCTCCCTGTCTCCTGTGCAGCTCAGGCTTTTGCTGGGAAGGACTGCTCACCTCTCTATCCATATGGGGACTTGATTTGTGCAGGAACTGCCT